GTCCAATATTTCTCTAACTACTTAATCTTTCTAAGCACTTCTCTAACGACATCATCCTTATCTTCAAACTGTGATTCGCCATTTTGAAAAAATGAACTCTTTATTTCATCATATCTTTAAGAAGATACCTCTCAACATTTTTTGGTCTATTTTGAAGATGAAGCTCCCAGTGAACAAAATCTTGCTTTCTTTCTGCTGTTATGTGCTTTTTTGAACCAAGCCATTCTTTCTGCTCTAGCAGGAACCAAAACAGGATTATCTTATTTAATTTTTTTAAATTAATTACGCCCAGGTGTGTATTGTCTGCTTTCATGTCTGTCTGGCTTAACCTCCAAAATCTATTTTTCCTCTTTTCTTCAAAATCACATTTCTCATATGGAAATTATTTCCTCCTCCAGTTTAATTAGCTTATATTTTTATGTTTTCACTCTTCACTACTCCTGATTCCAAGAGCAAAGCATGTTTTAAAATCAATCCAGTAAGTCTTAGATTTTCTGAGAAAAGAAATTCCTAGAGACAGAATATTCCTGCTCAGGCTTTTAAAATTGCTTTCCTAAATGTTTGCACTTAAAATAATTTTATTGACATGCTGTTTTGCCTCAATCAAAGTCGATGGATAATGATTTATAATTTAGTAGTCTCTCTTTCTATTATTTTTTTCAATGATATGATCTACTGAGCTTACGTGGCTGGAACTACAACCTGCATCTCTGAAATCTAAAACTTTAACCAGAGTTTTGGAAGTGGCTCAAACCAGGTCCCGTTTGAGATGAAGTGAGGGAGTCTGACTAAAGACGCTGTGTATGTTGCTAAAGATTATTAGCTTTAGATGTTTTCCTGTTAACCCTTAATGCGGTTACAAACTACATAAAGATTAGCAGAATGTGCAACATCTGAGCTGGCACCGTCTAGCTGACATTGGTCACACTGTGGAGTTCTCACTTGGAACTTAGCTCCCTTTGCAATTATAAATTCTAATGTGAGGTAATGGCTGAGAAGCACAGGAAAATCAGGGAAAGTTAATCCATACTTCAATGACAGAAATGCTTGTCTAATGAATTTTTGCTTGGCTTAAGTGAGCATAAAGCAGGTATCAAAATCTCCTTTTATTCAATATAATTTATATGCTAGGTAAAATTTGTTCAGCTTCGGTGGGGTCATGTTCAGTCATGAGGGACCATCGCATGCCTTAGGTCAGATCAATGTCAACTGCGGAGAACACTATTCTTGCTTATTAAGGTTTGTACAACCCACACTTAATAATTCAAGGGCTCATTAGAAACAGCACTGAACCTCTAAAAACAGCTAATCTCCCATGGATAAGCCATTGTGAAAAGCTAAATTCAAATGCAACATGACCTTCATTTTCTAAGACCTTTCACTAGTACTGTACCAGAAACTTCAATCTTATTTAGTCCCTCAATACCAGTCTTGCATATTCACAAGGCTTAATGTTAATACAGTAGTGTTAAATTAAATAAGCAGAAGTTACTAAGTATACAACTGAAACATAATTTAGGAAAATATTTTGTAACAAACAGCGAAGTTTTTGCCAGTCATGAGCAGCTGAGAATCAGTCAAGCACAGGCCACACATTGCTCAGACCATGCCCCAATAGAGCCAACACCTAGATGCATCCAATCAGGTGATGCTTCTACTTTGATTCTGTGTTCAGCCTATAAAAGCTCACCGTCCACCTCTTCTGGTTCTGAGCATTGCCCCATTCAACACATGAATTGTTCTTTGGCCAAATAAACTCTGTTAAACTTGTCTAAAGTTTTTCTTTTAACAAGAAGATACTGAGCTTTCCTGGAGAAAAGAGATTAAAAAAAGAAAGGAAAATAAATGGAAGAAAAACTATGAAACCGTACAACCCTTTTTACTTTTCTCAGGACAGAACGGCAGGAAAATGAAAGGTACAATGATGGGTGTATTACAAATAATAGTGAGTAGAGATCAGAACTTTAGTTAATGTGGCAAAATTGACCTGCTAATCTTTCATCCTTGCATTAAGTAGACTTAGTCCTGCAGTCACTAGTGCCATTGGACATCTGTACAGCTCCCCTGCAGGGGGAAAGCCAGACTCTCAACTTACCCTAGGGAGCAGCAGAGGCTGCATATGTCTTCCAAAGCAGTTGAATGCAAAAGAAGACCTAGGAGGCACTGAGTCAACCACACTCCATTTTTTTTTTTTTTTTTTTCTTGAATGCATTAGTCAGATGTGTCTCTCCCACACATTTCTTTCCCGGGGCATGGAAGATAAAGTCAGTCCTTTCTAAGAAAGCAAGAGAAATAAGAAATAAACATTCTCGCTGTATAATTTTAATGTGGACAAAGGCTATGGTTTCTGTACTCAGTTGGTTGGTCTTTTTCATCTACTTTTAGCCAGTTATTTTGGGAAATATTTGAAAGGAGTAAATATTGTCCTCCCCAAAGCAAGCAAACATTAATTGTTCTTATTTTAGCGATTAGATTCTAACACATTTTCCAAACCTTCATCTCTTTAGAAAGCATGCCTGATTTAGCTTTAAAATAAAGTTTTCTAATAAATACAATTTGAATGTTGTTTTTATTTGGTGCTGATTGAGTAAACGGGTTAGTGATTTTTTTTTTAACAGGGTCACTATATCTCTGAGAAAATTTGTGTTCATCCGAATGAGGTTGAGAAGTGGATTCTTTTTAATGAAATCAAAGAGATACAGGTTCCAGTTCCAGCTCCACTATGTGACTTTAGGCAATTGATGATTTCTGTGTGCTTTTATTTCACTTCTTTGAAAGGAACAATAAGAACTTCACAAGGCTATTGTCATGATTAAATGAAAAAATATATGAGAATTGCTTAATATACTGCTTGACATATTACTGAAGTAAATTTAGCGCTCTATTAATAATTATCAGCATCACTAAAGGCAAAAGGTTACTTTGTGATCTCATCTATAAACAACCTTTACATATATTATATACAGAAAAACTGATAGTTATTGAGGAGATTAATTTTTTCTCTGTCATTGTTTTCCACCTGTACAGCATATTATGGCTATTCATCACTAATCTGTTCTCCAGTGAGAAAATTTCTCCCTAAATTTATCTCTCTAGGCAGCCAAATGATAATAGTTAAAACATGTCTTCTAAGATATTGCTGCCTATTAACGTCATTGCAAAGAGTGTGAAATTCCTACATCCATATGAGCAGCTGTGTACTCAGGAATAAATGGCGCTGTGAAGAAGTATGTGCATCTCCTTGAAGAGACAGTAGTAACTGTGGTGATATGAACAGGGCATGGGAAAGTGCACAATTCAGTCATAAAAATCAGAAGTAAACTCCTTTAAAGGGATAACCAGAGGATGAAAACCTTTCTATTTCCTAGTTTCCCTATGGAAACCAGAAGTAAAATTTCAGAAAGTTATTTACTGGACTGCCAATTAGATAAACTGATACTAGATAACCTTATTTTGGGTACATTTACCTGGGGACATAAGGTGGCAAATGAAGTGGAAGTTTTAGGGTCAGAGTTTTACAAAACTTCTTCCAGATATACAGGATTACAAGACAAGATGATCTTTGTCACTGCCTAAGGCCTAGATATCCCTAACAAAATATTAGTTCTAGAAAATTGTGAGTCAATGACTTCTGTGATCATTTTGAGCCTCTGGTCCAGTCAAAGGTGTTGTACTTAGTAATGAACAGATACCTTTAACACTGCTTCGGGCACTTATGGTTCTACTCAAATAAATACATGTTAGTCAAAAAGTAGAAGAACTATTTCAGAGATTTCTGTTACGATTGCTAGGACCATAACATTGGGAATATGTGTATTACCTAATTTAAGTGGATAACGTGGCTTTCCTCTCATCGTATCTGCCAATAATAGTTTATGATGAGAATGACAGTGACCCAACAACAGTGATGTTAGTGTTATTTTTCAAATCCAAAACACAAAATGCAGAATGCAAAGCCTTGCATACATGTGTAGAAAAATATTCAGTTTATGCAGATACTGTGTTTTAAGAGACCTGAATCCAATTACCATAATCTAGTATTCTTACAGAATTTCATTAGGAAAATGTAATCTTCTGTCAAGTATCCTTGAAAAGCTAGGTATTGAGATGGAACACAATGAAATTATTGTATTGTAATGAGAATGCTTCTTAATGCACACCTTTCTGAGGTTGCCCTTTTACTGAAAGAATATACTATTTTTGTCATTATTTGGCTACATATTAAACAGTGAAATTCTTGACTTGGTGTTAGGCAACGTTTATAGTTCCAAGACTTACCTAATTTTGTTTGGAATTAAGTTTCAAATACTCAGATGCAAATAACAAAGCATGTTGATAGCATTGCCTTTTAGTGGTAGTTATTATGCTAAGCAAACAAGTCATCAAAAAAAGCACTTGCTCTGGGTACAGAAAAATAGAGCAGAAACCTAGACTGTTAATTATTTTTATAAAACATCATAGAAGTATCATTCAAAAGCATTAAAAATCATATAGGAAAGAAAACAGCTCATAGTTTGCAAAACAATTTTAACCTGTGACATATATGGAATAATGTATGCTTTAGTCAATGTATTATTATTATTATTATTTTTATATAGAGTTTCACTTTTGTAGCCCAGGCTGGAGTGCAGTGGTGTGGTCTTGGTTCACTGCAACCTCCGCCTTCCGAGTTCAAGCGATTCTCCTGCCTCAGCCTCCTGAGTAGCTGGGATTACAGGCATCCACCACCACACCTGACTAATTTTTATTATTTTTAGTAGAGATGGGGTTTCACCATGTTGGCCAGGCTGGTTTCAAACTCCTGACCTCAGGTGATCCACACTCCTTGGACAGGCAAATTTCTGGTATTACAGGTGTGAGCCACTCTGCCTGGCCCTAGTCAATGTATTTTTATTTTATATTCTAGCAGAATGTTTTGGTAGTAAAGCAAAGTGAAATCTCCACAGCTGATTTATTTCTTAAGATTCTGTATCAACAAATAAGGGCACAATGGAGAAAGGTATCTGCAGTGAGTGAATTTACATGTGACATTCTTAGTATTTATTTTAATACATTGGTTAGACACAGTGGGATGGCAATTTACATCAATTATTTGTTGGTTTATTTATGTACTTGGTATCAACCAATTATCTATTTTGTGCAAGTTATAAATTCTCTGCATTCTTAAAACTGGTCGAATTTTAGGTTAAAGTTAACCATACTTAATTAAAAACTGGGGAATGCAGAGGTGTCTCTGTGCCCATGTCAATGAAAGTGGAGACTGCTTAGTTCTGGACTCTCAAGTGGTTTCGGGCAGGGAAGCCAGGTTGGCCGCTCTGATCACCCAGAACACCCAGGTCATCCCAGCATAGTTCTCACAGTATTACCCACGGCAAGATGGAAGCCCCTATCTGGCCTCTAATCATTCTGGGTGGAAAACTATTTTTACATTACTTCAAATACTGTCCCATAGGGTTTGGTTCACTGAATGAGTTGTAGTTGAACTGGTACACAAAAACATTCTGAGTATACAAATAAGCTCTAGCAATCAAGGGAAAAGGTCTCTGCTGGCTGAATTAAAAAAAAATCAAGGACAAGAGAACCTACTTGAGGTCCCAGAATTTAAACGCTGATATGGAGAAAAATATGATAGGCAAAATATCTGCAGTTAACTATCCAACTCTAACATTTACAGTTATATGTTCATCAGAGAGTTGATCATCTCTCCCCACAGGTCCTTCTCGGGAATTTCTATGAGCTTCAAGTCAATGGCCTATAGTTCAATAAATGTAGGACTATCTTCTTTATCCCTGCTTCAAAACATAGACTTTCACTTTTCCTCATGAAGACCCTTTTCCAGAAAGATGACAAATGTCATAATATGTGACAAGGCAATCTTGAAAGCAAATGGAAGAAAACTTGCAAAAATATCAAAATGAAATATCTCTTGTTTAATAATCATTGTTGAAGTATTTAACCTCAGAAAGTTGAAAAGAAAAAGAAGTGTTAGATGTAATAACCTATGATTGTTAATCACAGAAAAGATGAATTTTTTTAAAAAACTATATGGAATCTTAAAACCTTAAGGACATGATTCTCTAGTCACAGTAAAAATAAAAAAAATAATAAATCACAGTGGCACTCTTAATATCCTGCTCAAAATAACCTAAAAATATGAAAATAAAAGAGAAAAAAATAGTTTTATGATTTTTGTACCTAGAAATAGAGTTATATAACAATTCAATCCCACAGCTATAAATGACTAGAGTTATTTTGAAAAGTTACATTTCACTTAGCATTTTAAAAAGTTTTCAGGAGAAACAGTATTAGCATTATTTTTTATTATTCATGAGATACTATATATACTCATATTTTGTCCATTGTTTTAGCACATTATTTTACTGTTATAGATAAATTATTTTTCATATGACTATTTGTATATACCAGCACTCAGTTACAATACAAATTTAATAACAATTGATCTTTGAAAACAATATACAGGAAGTAAATACCTTCATTCAGTACAGAAATTCTCTACTTACTAAGAACTTGTAAGGAAATTGATGTCTTGATTAATAATATGGGATTTAAACGGGAATGTTGTGGAATGTAATGAAGCAACAGTATACTTATCCATAATTTGGAATTAAAATACATGAAAGATTTATTCAGTGAAATAAATTTAAAGCTATACAGCAGTAAAGATCAGAATTAATTGTGAAGTACATTAAAGACTTATTCATAAGATGAAAATTAATGTTTTAAAAGGCAACTGAAGGACAGACTCCAATGTTTGCCAGGTAATTGTGAACAATGTTCTTGGAAAAAAGAGAAAATTTTTGAAAATGCATTTTGTAGGACATTCCTGAAGGACAAGGCTGCATTATCTTTCAAATAGCAGAAACCTTCAAAGTACAATATGCAGTTAAGATTTTAAAATATATTTTAATTTTTAAAATATTTAAAACTATCAAGGACATGTTTTTAAAACCTTACTTTGTCCTGAGAGCAACAGTATATTGGGGACTAAAAAACATACTGCCACCTCCATGAAACTTCTTTTCATTTATTTTGTTTTTAGATAAACCCAAAGGGAAAGAATTAATATATGTTTTCAAAATACATTTTTATGTGTATTTTCAAAATTATTCATAAAACACCTCTCATAAGGGCAATAACTTTGCCACCATCCAAAGACATTTATGTTGAGAGCAGCAAAGTATCAAATAACAGAAAAACTGTTGTGGTCCAGGAAGAAGAACATTGACACAAGTTGTAGTTAGGCTCTTCTAAATTTAAATTCAAGATCGTTTGCTTACTTTTTCTGGTACCTTAGGCAAGTTACTGAAATTCTCTTTTGGCGCTGACATGAAATTTACATATAACATATGCAGATACGACTTCTCAGGTCTTCTACAAAGCCAGCTGCTGATTTGTTGTAATCCTCATCCATTGTTTTGTGATTGTGTGACCTGAGAAAAGCCGCCAGCATCTCAATCTGAAAAGTTGGAAATTGACACCGCCTTATTTGATGCCGTGAGGATTAGGTGAAGCAACATATGTAAACGTATCTAGCCCCAAAAGCATGTTCTCTCCCTGTATCATATTCCTGCTCCTTCCCCTTTTTGCCTGTTTTTGGTTCATAATCAAAAATTCCTTCCCCTCTGCTTCATTTCATTTCTTCTTTAATCACCAAGAAAGGATGTTAAAACTAGAAAATCTGAGTGGCTTAAATGAGTCTATTGTAGAATAAATAATGTTTGTGTTGTTCTCCGTTCTGTAGGAGTAAATAATATTAAAAGGGCAAATTTTTAAAAATGTATGAATAAAGACAATTGAGTTCTAGTTTCCCCTGCCTCTGCCTTTAATCCTTAAGAGATGTGTACATTTGAGAAAGTTACATATTGTATTGAGTGGGAGAAATCTGTTTTTCTAATATATTAAAATAAACAGTTTAAGTAGGTGATCTTGAAGGCTTATTCCACCTCTAAATTTTGTATTATCATTAAATACATCTCAACATCAGTGGCTTTCTATTTTCCTCTTCTCTACTATTTCCGACTTCTTACCTGATAACGCTGTCCTTAGTTTGGTTAGCCTGGTTAATACGATTCTGATATGAATGAAAGAAACCACATTCTGATCTTGCACAGGCCATAGCGGTGTTTGCTCCATTCCAGAAGTTACCAATAATGTATCCTTTAATGACACTGGGGGAGACCATAAAATATGAATGGATCAGCAAAAAAAGTTCCCAATTTTGGAAAAAGTACTTAGAGTGCACATTCTGCTAATATTATCTTTACTTATGTAGAACAATTGTATACTCATCATAAATAATACACAAATTTTACATCGTCGTAGTCTGTATCTTTTGAATATAACTAAGTAGTTTACACAAATTTTACATCGTCGTACTCTGTATCTTTTGAATATAACTAAGTAGTTTACACAAATTTTACATCGTCATACTCTGTATCTTTTGAATATAACTAAGTAGTTTTCTTTAAGAATATAATGACGAAAGATCTAAGATATACTGTATACACATATGCATATGTAATAAGTAAATATATTTCATATGAAGAATATTGATCACTGATGGTATACGGGTAAAATGGCCTGTGTGGGGAAAATTTAACCTTAGCATATATACCAATTTAATGTTAATACATATGTCAATTTTAGGTTAACATATAAGCATTTTTCTTCAGTGTGAATAACTAAATGAAGAGAGATAAATTCCTTTCTTCATCAACTTCAGTGCATAAATGCTGATTTGCATTTCAAGCATATACCGAGAGCATAGCTACTATTTGATTGGTATCTTTAATAACATATCTCAAGAAACTAAATGTTATAATGATTAATATTCAGATAAAGGTAGAATAATTGCATGTGATTAAAATTATCAGATTGATTGCTAGCCCCATTCTAATACAAACTGGTAAGTTTGATTTTTCTGTTGCTTGATTAGAATCTTTTGGATTTAAAAGGCCCAGAAATATAATCAGCTATTTGTCTACATTGCTAAGAATACTGTGTCTGAAAAATATAGATACTGTGTGACCTAATACAACTTTATTCCAGAATTAATGAGAAAATGTCCAGGCAAATAAGAGACTAACAATAAAAATGGAGCATGGTTTAAATGATCAAATTTGAATAATTACATTAACAATATAATTTGTTCATCCCAATAATTAAATATATATATACACACACACATATATATATATAACTCAGGAACTCTCCTAAGTTAAATGTAAATACTATTTGATCAGGGGGTTCAGATTGTTGATAGGCAACTCCCAAATCATATGTTAAATTCCTTTTGCAGAGAGTTGCAGAGATTTTATTTCAATAAAGTAGTACATAAAACTACTCAAAATAACCCTAAATAACTGAAATATCTAAGGTAAAAAGATGTATTGAGTAATGCATTGTGAGAATTCAAGAAGTGTATATGAAGAAAAAGAGGATGGTGGTCTATGTCACTAATGCAGGGCCCTGACTGAAAGCTAAATTTCCACATAGTTCTATGGAGTCCAGGCAGCTCGTATCACTCCTTTAGGAGATTTCAGGTAGGCGTCTTAGGTTTTCATTAGAATAGACTGTGCATGCTTCTTTTGCCATGAAAAGTGTGGGAGGTGATTAAAACTTGGATTACAAAGCAAATATTAAACACATATTTTCATACATATTATCTCAATTAAGCTCCATAATGAATTCATATGGGTACGCGTTATTTATCCCTTTTTAAAATATGAGGGAATAGAGGCTCTCTCGTTTGATGTGCAGCAACACAGGTAAAATTGAAATTCTAATAAGATTTCTGAATCTGAAATCCAAGGAATCTTTGCATTCTACTGACTTGTTTCATTTGACAAAGGCAGTATGTATCATCATAGAATGAAATATATGATAAGCCCCATTAAATATGTATACTGCCTGGCTTAACCAAGACTTACAAACAAAATACCTACATTGTAAAGGAATTACGTTTTTAGATAATTCAAAATAGGCTGAGTGTGGTGACTCACGCCTGTAATAACAGCACTTTGGGAGGCCAAGGTTGGTGACTCACGCCTGTAATAACAGCACTTTGGGAGGCCAAGGTAAGCGGATCACTTGATGTCAGGAGTTCAAAGCCAGCCTGGCCAACATGGTGAAACCCCGTCTCTACTAAAATTATCCAGGTGTGGTGGTGTGCACCTGTAATCCCAGCTACTCGGGAGGCTGAGGAAGGAGAATTCCTTGAACCCAGGAGGTGGAGGTTGTAGTGAGCCGAGATCATGCAACTGCACTCCAGCCTGGGTGACAGAGTGAGACTCTGTCTCAAAAATAAAATAAATAAATAAATGATACTTTTTTTTCAATTTTTATTTTATTTTATTTTATTTTACTTCTGGGATACATGTGCAGAATGTGCAGGTTTGTTACATAGGTATATGTAACATGTGCCATGGTGGTTTACTTCACCTATCAACCTATCATCTAGATTTTAAGCCCTGCATGCATTAGGTATTTGTTGTAATGCTCTCCCTCCCCTTGCCCCGCCCCCCAACTGCCTGACAGGCCCCAGTGGGCAACGTTCCCCTCCCTGTGTCCATGTGTACTCATTGTTCAACTCCCACTTACAAGTGATAACATGTACTATTTGGTTTTCTGTTCCTGTGTTAGTTTGCTGAGGATGATGGCTTCCAGTTTCATCCATGTCCTGTAAAGGACATGATCTCATCCTTTTTTATGGCTGCATAGTATTCCATGGTGTATATGCTCCACATTTTCTTTATTCAATCTATCATTGATGGGCATTTGGGTTGGTTCCAAGTCTTTGCCATTGGAACTAGTGTTGCAATAAACGTAAGTGTGCATGTATCTTTATAGTAGAATAATTTATAATCCTTTGGGTATATACCCAGTAATGGGATTGCTGGGTCAAATGGTATTTCTAGTTCTAGATCCTTGAGGAATTGCCACACTGTCTTCCACAATGGTTGAACTAATTTACACTTCCACCAACGGTGTAAAAGTGATCCTATTTATCCACATCCTTGCCAGCATCTGTTGTTTCCTGACTTTTTAATGATCACCATTCTATCTGGCGTGAGATGGTATCTCATTGTGGTTTTGATTTGCATTTCTCTAATGACCAGTGATTATGAGCATTTTTTCCTATGTTTCTTGGCCACATAAATGTCTTCTTTTGAGAAGTGTTTGTTCACATCCTTTGCCTTGATGGAGTTGTTGTTTTTCTTGTAAATTTTTAAAGTTCCTTATAGATTCTGGATATTAGCCATTTGTCAGATGGATAGATTGCAAAAATTTTCTCCCATCCTCTAGGTTGCCTCTTCACTCTGATGCTAGCTTCTTTTGCTGTGCAGAAGCTCTTTAATTTAATTAGATCCCATTTGTCAATTTTGGCTTTTGTTGCAACTGCTTTTGTTATTTTTATCATGAAGTCTTTGCCCATGCCTATGTCCTGAATGGTATTGCCTAGGTAAAATGATATTCTATGAAACAAAATGTTACATTTTCATTAAATGATAAACAAAAATTAAAGAATTCAATTCAGAATTTATATCTGCACACTTACTTGAAATATAAAAGTGTGCCATCAAAAGTAAATCACACAACTCGATAGCAGAAAAACAAATAATGTGTTTAAAAATATGGACAAAAGACCTGAACAGACATTTTTTTCAAGCAATTCATATACATGGCCAACAGAAATATGAAAACGTGCGCAACATCACTAATCATCAGGGAAATGCAAATTGAAATCTCTGTGATATACCACCTCACACCTCTTAGGATGGCTATTAACAAAAACACAAGAGCTAACAAATATTGGCAAAGGTGCAGAGAAAAAAAAGGAACTCTAGTAACTGTTGGTGGGACTGCAGATTGTACAATCATTATGGAAAACAATATGAAGTTTCCTAAAATTAAAAATAGAACTACCATGAACTCACCAATCCCTCTTCTGTATATGCAACGAAAGGAGATTAAACCACCATCCTGTAAAGATGCTGGTGCTCAAATGTTTATTGCAGAATTATTCACACTAGCCATTTTATAGAAACAACCCAAGCATTTATTGACTAATCAATGGATAAATAAAGTGTGGTGTATCTATACTTAATGGAATGCTATTCAGCCATAAAAATTCAGATCCTGCCATTTACCACAACATGTGTAGAACTGGGGGACAGTATGCTAAATGAAATAAGCCAGAATAGAAATAAAAATATTGCATGATCTCACTTATATGTGGAGTCCACAAAAAGTCAAGTATACAGATAGAGAATTAAACAGTTGTAACCATGAGCAGTGGAAAGAAGGGTGTGGAGAAAATGGGAGACTAGACATAGGCAAAAAGATAAAAAGCAGCAGATATCTAAAATGCATTTAGTCTAGATTTGTAATGCAGCATGAGGATGAATTAATTGAATTGCATTACATTGGGAATTTTTGTTAAATAAGTAGATCTTAGTTGCTGTTGTCACACACAAAAAAGTAACTGTATTATATGAGATGATAGATAAGTTAATTTGTTTCACTAAAGTAACCATTTTGCTAATTGTATGTATCTCATAACATCATGTCTTTAACCTAAAATATACACAAGAAAATTTATTTTTAAAAAGGTAAATAAGAGAGTAAATAAATAATATAATTGAAATGATTGAATATAGTAATTGTTATTTGATGAAACTGCCAAAATATCATATTTTTAACAAACATTGCACTGTGTTGAACATAAATAAAATGAGAATAAAATAACCATATCCAGCTTTTCCACAGAAAAACATTCATAATGAAATGGGAGAGTTCCCTTAACCACCTGGAAGAATATGCAGCGGGGGTGTGGCTAGCTCCTTTGTTGCCCCCACTGCTCAGATCTGTAGGGCAAGCATGCAGACAGGCAGGTGCAGAGGCTCTGGGAACTACTCTTGGGTTCCTGCCTCCCGCAGTGTTTAGGGAAGGGTGTCTACAACTCCTGAAAACCAAGTGGGTGTGTGTTAGAATATGCTCTTTCAACTTTGCCATGTGCAGATGGCTTGTGTTAATCAGCTCAATAGATCCTCTGCCTTATCACAAGGGCAGGGGGCCAGTGTAACAGCCTTTTCTGTATCCTGAGTTTTTGCCCAGTGTCCCAAAAGCATCAGATCATACTTGGGCTGGAAGAATGAGTGCAAGGTTT